AATAATAAACCTAAATCAATGGCTAAATATATCAATATAGGCCAGAAATTAACTTTAAACAGCAGTGTCGGCAAGCAAGATTTGCTATATAAACAGCAGCCATTTGTAAAATAGAGTGACTTCCGCCTGAATCTCGCGCTATATGTCTATAAAAATAAAACTTTAACAAGATGGCTGCTATAGTAAATGAGCATGGTTGCATCTGTTGGAAACATCGCTAGTCTTCATTTATTACTGAAAAGCTTTAATTCAATTGTTTAAAAACAGGTACATAAATGAATCAAGGAAACATTTTTGTATTTTTCAAAACATAAATCCTCCTCAAAATGTGAAATAATTATTAAAATGTAAGAAGTCACCTTTTTTTCACATTACTAGTCGTGGGCGATTTTACGTACCTAAAACGATAGATTACCGTAAAAGCCGTTTGAAAACCATCGATTACACTCATTTTTATATTTATGTGTCGTAGAAGAGCAGTTAAGAATTATTACATCAATTCAAATATTTTCAAACACGGCCATAAACCTCTTCTTGAAGTCAATCGGAGAGTTAAACAATAAAAATAAGAAATAGTGTTTTCTATGACAAAAATGCCCGCTAGGGTGTAGTGTAGGCCAATAGTGTAGTAATGTATTTGCATTAAATAATATAATATCCCCAATCACCACAACACCCTGAATCTACTAATCCAAATTAAAAATAAACATGTTTGTTAAATTACTATTATATTACTATAATTATTTCTTTGACTATTTCTAGCCTTAATGAAACCGGAAGTAATTTTTTACTTTTTACACAAATGTTATAAAATATTCAAGGTTGGTTGAAAAATATTTTTTCTTGCAACACAAACTTGGAAACATTTCAAACCAGCTTTTTAATCGTATTAAATAAATTTATCTAAAATATAATAACGAAAAAATTTTTTTAGAAAACAAAATAACAACTAACTTTTATAATTATCCACAAAAAAGCACAAAATAAATAATTGAATAAGTAATTATGAAGCAGCACTATTAAAATAAATATACCAAAAGCGTGGTTATATATTTAAAGAAAACTATTTCAGTTTTTTTAGTGCATAATTGTACAAAAACTGTTTATAAAACGTTGTATATGAATTTATTTGTAAATAGTTTTAAAATTTTGGTATCATAGAATTGCATGACAGCAATTGCGCACAGAGAAACTGAAATACTAAGCGTATAAAAGCGCGGGAAATAGTATTTTCTATAGGAAAATAAAATACGCTAAATTCATAATACATTAATAAAGCATTAATAAAGCGTCAAGAATTAAAACTAATTCTTTGATTTAACACAAAAAAACAACATTAGGACACAAGATAAATTAATTTAAAATTTACACTTAACGTTTTACAATTAATTTAGAAAATTAACAATGTCTAATAATCAATATTTGACACTAGGCTAATGTAAACAAAACAAATATATCATTAATAAACAATGATGTTTATTTTTGCGTGTTGGTGCGCATTTTCCAAGTCACAAAAGTATTTACTGTAAAATACAATATTGTAAAGCCATTTTTAACACTGATATTCAATAATTAAAGGGGCTATTTGTACAATGCATTATTGTGAAAACTCAAAGAAAGAGAAATGCAAACATTTTCAAATAATTAATTCACTGAACTTCTAAGAAGATTATTAATAATAAAAGAGCTACTGCAAAATAGATTCAGTTTTAAAATTGTATCATTCGTGTTCTATTTCGAAATTATATTTAAATGAACATTCGATTTATTGTTGTGTTAAATTTGATTGTGGTGTGTGTGTGTTTGTGTGTGTGTGTATGTATAAAGAATGTGTGTGTGAAAAGCCAAAAAAAAAAAAGATGTAGATGTGTCGTGACCTAAGGATATATTGTATAACGTTACACAATGTACTAGCGGGTGCTTACAAAGGATTTCGACATTATTCCCCTTCCGTTAATTACACCGGTCATTTTTACTGACGTCATTACCCCCCCCCCTCCCCCCCCCCCCCCCCCGTTGAATTACACCTAGTGAATAACCCCTCCCCCAGGGCATTTCCCGACCCCAAAACTGCAGTAGAACGTTACCCAAACCCTAGACAGTTACCCAACGGTTAGATGAACGGTAACCCATCGGTTATGTTAATAGTAAAAGTAACGGTAACCGTTACCTTCCGTGGCAACGGAGCGACGTTGGTGGTGGTGGTGGTGGTTGTGGTAGTAGCAAAGGTAAATGTAAACGGTAATGGTAATGGCAACTACAAAGGTAACGGTAATGAGAGGATATAATAAAGTGTATGGAAAGAGGATGATTAAGGATAAGTATATTGTTTTGGTTAGGAACAGGGTTAATGATTTGGAGATGGGGATAGTAACAGAAAGGTATTGGTATAATAAAAGTATGTATTATGCAACAGGGTAATCACAAAGGGTGGTATTTGAGAGGAGGTTATTGTGTAATCTTGAGGCTAATGACCGGGTGGGGGTTAGGGTTGGGTAACGTGTTACACCTAATTAAAGCATGCAACACTTAGGATAAATTTATGTTTAAATTTTTGTTCTATGCTTCATTTATGTTAAGTGTTGCTATTATTTGCAAGTCTTTACATATTGTATAATATTTAATACATACTTCTGTTTTTTTTTGGTAGTAGATATAAAGCATGCTTCATGTGTTCAATGTGCATGATAAACTATGGCGTAGTTAGCGTCGACGATTAGAGTGTTATAACGCAATATATGTCATTTAATCTGTATACGGCACAATATTTACTGTAAAGTACAGAGCATTTTCTGGTGTCAAAGGCCATTAAAATTTTGCACATCATTTTTAAGAGAGAGAGAGAGAGAGAGAGAGAGAGAGAGAGAGAGAAAAAAAGAGACACGATTACTAAAATGTGTGTAACAATTATTTTCAATATAAACTAATTGGTATAATTTCTAGCTTGAAATAAACTTTAAAAAGCATCTCTGAGTAATAAACTAGCCATTAAAAACCTGTGTGATAGTCTTCACATGTTGTGCAATTTAATTTTATAATATGCTAGAATCATTAAAAGAGTAAAGTTACGAATCTCAAATTAATGGGAGATTTTCAAGTTAATCAAAGCCGTTTACTATACATATATGAATGTGTATATATTATACGTTTCGTCACTAATCAATAAGCTTTATGAATTTCACTAAATACCAATTTTTTTAAAGAAATTGAAGCATTCAGTTAAAATATTTTTTTAAAAAATACAGCGTTATGTATCTCCGATGAACGGTTTCAAATCGCATCCGAATTTTATTTTTATATACTGTATATACAGAAACATCGCATCGCACCATTCTGGGGCAGAAACCTCCACATGAGTATTCTCAGCAACTTCCCAAAGCTCCAAGTGATCGAAAAAAAAGTATAGTATGCATATAAGACACACACCGACAAACATATTAAGAGAGGGAGAGAGAGAGAGAGAAAGAAAGAAAGAGAGGGATGCATAAGTGGATATTTATAATCAATAAATACATGTGTACAAAAAAAACATAAAATAATGCTAATTGCAGTATAAGCTAATTTAACGAGTTGTGGTGGGGAAGTATATCGACAATACATCATATAAAATAGTTTATTGAAAATACATCATATAAAAGAGTTGCATTGTAATGAAAACTCAATATAGTTTTCAAACCATGTATTGTTATATGTTCAATTGAAAAAAATAAGAATGGAGCTATAAGCAAAAACATAATTATACTTTTTTTAAACATTTTAAAACTGTTTATTTTAATAACTGATTTTAGTTATATTGTTTATTGTTTCTGCAGATTATTGGAAAGTACATAAGGTACTAGCTAAACGGCAATGTCCAAGACTTATTAAATAATATCGGGAAAACTTGACACTAAAAATAGCACTATGACGAATCGCCATTTTCATTTCAACATAGCCCTATACGATCTGCTGAGGAAGGTATGTACTTATTATTTCTCTAGTTTTATTAATGTAGTTGATTCAATTATAAATTATTGCTTAATGTATTTATTACAAGGGAAAGGGGAAGTTCTAACTCCAATTTATTAATGGCATTTTTTAACCACCAAAACCATTAACATCAAGTTAGATATATTACGTCATAGTATGGTTGTATGTGTTATAACTTAAGAATATAATTATGCAAATTATTAAAATAACGTAACAGATATAAAAATACATGTGTGTAAAATTTTTCCGATAGAAATAATATGAGTCAAACATTTACATTTTATATTGACTAAGTAAAGAAAATTGAACGCACATCATGAAAGTTCGACCTAGATTTCTATCTGCACACATGGAATTCAACATTGATACATATTTTTTTTACTTTTTAAAACTGCATACTTCTTCTTCTTCTTCGTTTTTAATTCTTAGTGTTGGGAGGGATCGAGCCTTATCTGCCAGAGGGTTTGAACTCGCGACTTTTTTCGAATTTATCAACCATGAGCTTTGCCGACTCGACCATGCTTCCATCACAATTAAGGATTACGTGTCAACTGGTTATGCGCCATAACTGGTTCGGCATACAAAATAACACATTTAATATTTAGCTTCATAAAAATGAGTCAAAATACGGGACGAAAGAAAATGTTATTGAAAATTAAACTAGATCTATATTCAAATTAATTTTATATTCTGCATCCCCCCTCGTCACCACACACTCTAAACGTTTCTCTGTTTGCCTTCCCCTCCTCTCTGTGACCCCCCACCCCACCCCGCATCGCTAAGAGCCAGTAAAGGCTAGTAATCGGGAAAACATCAGAATACGGGACTTTTTCTTGTTCTAAAAATACCACATGTGTTTATTTTATGTTTCTCCCTAGACACACACATTTTCACACTGATGAACAAAAATGAATACGGAAAGAAAAAAATAAAGACATTGGAACGAATTATGGCACAGACAATATAAGAAGTTATTTATCATACAATTTAGACATAATTATACGTTCGGGAAAACCGCAGATTAACAAACTTATGTGGTACTAAAAATAGCACTAAGTGAACGGACGCCATTTTAAATCAACATAGATCTAGACCTAAACGAACTGTTGCTGGCTGTATGTAATAACTATATATTTTTCTAGTTATATTAATTTAATAAGTTTGATTTATAATATAGTTCCTAACTCTAAAATAAATAGGCCACATTGAATAATATAAACTTGAATATGCTTTGATTTATTCTTAATTAGTTATGTCAAACAAAAATTATCAAACTAGTACCCACATATTTGCATATATCGTACGTAATTAACACATTAACATATTGTCTTAATGTTTAGCTAACAGTTGCCCGTAGTTAGCTAAACTGTTGTTTGAGTTAGGTGAGTGTCGGATGGGTAGTTATTAATTTTTGCGACGCTGAAAAAAAATTTAACTCGTTCATGAATGTTGTTTTTTTTTTCCGGAAAGAAGTGTAGTTTCATGGGGTGGATTAAAAGTGTGTAGATCTAGTTATTAAAGTAGATAAGAACGTTCTGATGCCAATTTATCACAGAAGGCTTTTTTAACCACTAAAAACAATAACATCAATGATCTTTATATATATATATATATATATATATATATATATATATATATATATATACATAATATATATATATATATATATATATATATATATATATATATATATATATATATATATATATATATATATATTTATTTATTTATTTATTTATTTATATATATATATTTATTTATTTATAAATATATTATACATACATACATATATATATATATATATATATATATATATATATATATATATATATATATATATACATACATATATATATGTATTTATATACATACATACATATATACATATATATTAGTAAATCATAGTAAACATGTATATATTATTCGTATGCAGATGATTAAATAACGTAACATATTTAAGGACATTTGTGTATTATTTTACCTGTAGAAATAATTTATACACATCATATTGACTAAGTAAAGAAAATTGAATACATATTACTAAGCTTCGACCTATCTGCACACACGAATTTGACTTTGTAAATTAAACTTTTTAAGCCTGATTAAATGTGCATACACAAAAATTAAAGATTTTAAATGTATATTAATATAAAGTTAAAAATATAGCACACCACCCCCCCCCCACCTCCACCACAGAAACTTAACTTTTTCTCTATGTTTACCCCCTCCCCCACATTCTCCGTGCGTTTTGTTAAACGGTAACAGTGTATGCTTGTTATACAATAAGGGTGAAGCTGGGATTGAGGGACTTGTTTTAGAGTGAAATTCTGTATAACTTTACAAAATGTTGTCAAAGGTCAGTGCTACTATAGATATGTTGCTACCAAATTGTATTACTTTATTTGATGAAGCTGTGGATCTGCTTTTATAAAAACAGTTTGTGTTTAAGTTTTGTTCATGGTTTGCCATTAACTGAACTGAACCTTTTTAATATGTTCAATACATATGTTATGTGAAAATTTTTTTTGGGAGGAGTCGAGCTTAATGTCAAGCATTGTGTGGGGAAAGAGGCAGGGTGTGTGTGGGGGTGTGGACAAGACGTGAGAAGATGTGGTGTTGTGACGGCAGGGTGTGTGTGGGGAGTGGATGGGTAGCGGTGTTGTGACGTTTTGAAATATGAAAGATAATATATCAGGTGGCATGGTTAAAAACGAAGAAATGCAAAAAGATTTTATTGGCGAATTGGGGTTTTAAAATCAATCTTTATTGTTAAATAATTCTAACATTGGTTAAAACCACACTTTGGTTTTGTTTCTCCGTAGACACAATAATTTTCAATGCAATGCATATAATCAAATTGAATTTACCAAGAAAAACGTAAAAAGGTATTCATATGAAACGTTTTTGAACACATTAAAATATATAATCACTTATTAATTATGTCGTAATGTTGCCAAGGTCACAGTAACAAGTGAACTCTACTCAGAGTTTCTTCCAGGCATCTCTTCAGAAGGGGCGGACCCCCCCCCCCCCCCGAAAGAAATGGAATGTATATAGAAAACATACTTTTATCAATTCCCCCCCCTCCCTCGGAAAATGTTGACCACCCACTCGAAAATATCAGTCTCCCCTCCCCCCCCCCTCCCCCCGGATAAAAAGTCTGAAAGAAACACTGACTCTACTTCAATGTTGCCGACTGATCTACAACGAGTGACCCCTACATAAACTCATTGGTTCTATTGATCAGTTTTGCTGCAGCATGAAAAAAATAATTTGGTAGAAAGTCGCAGAAAATGTGACTTTTTAGATCTAGTATTTATGTATGCAAATGTGGAACATATCAATATTCAAAATAATTACACGTTCTACTATTACCGAGATACACATCATAGCTCTACAAAATGTTGAAATTTAAAAGAAAGACGCTGTGCTTATAATATGCAGATTTTTATAAGCGTTTTGTTTTTAAATAATTCCCGTAAAAAAAGCCTTATTTCTGTAGCTTAAGGCCTAAATGGCAAGTTATCTGATAAATTATGGTATCGATACTTTAAAAAGTTAAACCAGTTTTACAGCAGACGATCATTTCGCGTCAATTCATTAGCAGACCAGTAGGCTTACTCTAGATCTAGATCTAGATCTAGTACTAGGCGTAGCACGTACCAGTAATAGATTAGTTAATTAGTCTAGATGGTTAGATATAAAATGTAAATCGATTAAGAATCTACATACTAGATATAGATCTATATACTGAGACTAGATCTAGATCTACTAGATCTAGAATCTAGATCTAGAATCTAACTACTTTAACTAGACTAGATATTAGATATCTATAGACTCTAGATTCTAGATCTATCATCTAGATCTAGAGTCTAGATTCTAATTAGTAATTAGTAGATCTAGAATCTAATCTAGATTCTAATAATATTTAGATTTTAGATTACCAAGTCATGTGTTGAGTATAATATAAATAATCTCAGTGTAGATCTAGATCTAGAATCTAGATCTAGTTTAGATAATATTTAGAAAATAGTCTAGATCTAGATAATAATATTATAAAATAAATATTATTATCTAAATCTAGATCTAGATTTCTATATGTATTGTATTAATAGCGAGTCTAGTTCTAGTAGTTTAAATGACTGAGTATTTTACTTTTAACTTTGAACTTATTTATTTTACTAGATCTAGATCTAGATTTTATGTGAATAATAGGATTACAATACCTGCAGTGCCCTATAAATTATGAATAGCCTTACTAATGAGAGACATAAAAGAGTGCTCTAAAAAAATAAACCATAAAAACATTTGAAAATAATTTAAACTAGATTTATACAATGGAAAAAAGCATTCTAAATTCTTTAATACAATAAATTGTAAATATACAAGATGAACTTAAACAAAAGCCCTACAATTTTTTAAGTAATTTTAAAACTAAATTGCTATAGGGCAGGAAACAGATTGGTACCGCAAAATGCATATTCGGTCTTCGCCGTTCATAAACTTTCTAACTAGACATCGTTCGGGGATTTTGTTTATACTGATAAATAGAGCAAGGTTTTTACAAGCTTCGTTAGCAACATTTTTGTGGAATTCGTTTTTTATGACATTTTGTGTCGCGGCGAAGGATGCGAAGTATGCAAATCTAGACGGAATGGATCTACTTGGAAAGTACGTGTACTGCACTAATGAGGTAAGAAATAATATTTTGTAAAAATAACTATTATTTTTTTATGGATTTTTCATTAGAAATGATTGCTGTAAATTATGAAAGTAAAAAAAAGTATATTTGAATGCGTTTTTTTACTTTAATTTGAACAAAATGACTGCCGAAAATTACGACACATCGGCGTCGCTGAAAGCGGGAATTTCAGTTAATTTTTTACGGATATAAAATTGTATTTTTTTTACTCCGAAGCATGTATTTAAATAACAGTTAAGTTAAATCTATTTAATTCTGTAAAATATAATTATTATTTTGCCGTAGATACTTTTTTTTTATATTTTTAATGATTTTCTGTCGTGGAAAATCGGTATTCGCACCATGCACGCACACGTAGTAAAACTAGACTTATCTTTAAAACACGAGAATCTTGAGTACACTGCGAATAACAAAGTTTTTAAATTTTAGTTTACTTTTGACTTTAAGCCATTTGTTTTAAATCGAAATTAATTGATAATGTAATTATTTCAAAGTAAAAATTTTCCGTCGCAAATTGGGTTCTAACCTTCGCCACTGAACCAGCCTAGGCACGACATTCGCGCGAGTCTGTTTCTTCGCAATAGTCTGTATAGTGTCGAGGGCTAATTCTAAAAAGAATCGAGTCCTTACTAATCTAATGTTTATTAAAATTAGGTACAATTGTTGGAACGCATGAGAAATAACAAATTAATATTTCTTTAAATCTATAGCCAAAAGAAAGTAGAACTTTATAACTCTGTAAATTATGAATCGAGTGACGGCTGTCGTGAAAACGGGAGCCATTTTACTCTTTTTTTTAGGGTGACCTACTTTTATTATATAATTTTAAAATTCATCGATTTGATAAGCAGCTGAGTAGCTGACTACGCATGCGATATGGCTGGCACGTTTTGGGATAGGGATCGAGTACACCATAGAATTTTTTTTTCTTAGAACTAAGCGTATTTTTTTTTTTAAATCAAAAGATACTTACATATCAGTTGTTGATTTCAATTTCATTATAGATCTAATCACTAACTTCAGTTTTTAAAAGTGATTTTGCTTCTAGAACTAGCGTATTTTCAAAATTACGTAGATTCTAAATCTAGATCTATTCACTTACTATTTGACAACCGTGTCAGTAAAATGAGGTCACCGCTTCCAGATTCTTAGGTTTTAATTATGTTTGTCATTTTGATCTATTATAAGTAGCATTAAAACAACTGCATCTATTATCAACATTGTTTTTATATGCCAGTTCTAATTATACATTCTGTTCATTACCAATTCTAATGAAATCGTATCAGGCCCTAACACCCTGTTCACCTACACTGACACTACACTTGAATGACGCCACAGACAGTCGTAACTTTAAATTAATGTTCAAAGTACTAAACAATTATAATTAGCCATGTAAATGCTGCAACTATATTAAAAATTGGCATATAGACATATTTTATTAATTATGTTTTTTATATAGACCTTCTATATTTAACTCTGTTATTTTTTTCTTCCCCAGAGTGTTTCTAAAAGCCAGAATTTTAAAGGGGAGGGCGGTCGTTTTTTTCTCTCAAGAATAATTATAGAAATAAGCTATAAACTGGTATATTTTGTAAAGTTTGACATAATTACAAATAAATGTATGCCTAAGTGACATTTCTGTGTAATTATATCGTTAATTTTGTGAATTTCGTGGATTTTTGGACCTCACTACATTTAGATGTAAAAAAAAATCTCAGTTGAGTGAGTGTGGTTAATCTACATTTTGAACGTGATGTAAATGTCTAGTGCTATTAATTTTTATATTTTTGAATTCCTCGATTGTTAAGCAACAAAATTGATATATAATATGTCAATATTTGTTACTTTGAAAATTGGCGAAAATCGACCCTAAAAGTAGATGCTTGAGGGTTGAATCTGTTTCCTGCCATATGATGATTTTGTCTACTAGGGCTACTTTTAAAAAGTATAGACATATAGACCATATTTTTGATGTAAGCATGTCACCTCCAGCATATTCACTTCTTCTGCACTGTCTAATAAAATATTGTCTTCTATATATTATCAACTATAAAATTGAAACATTAGAATTAGGATTTACGCTTCTTCATTATAATTTATTGCAGTAATGTAAGTCACATAGAAATGCAGTTATGATCCTATAAGGATTAGTCTCCCTATTTCACCCAGTTGAAGTATTATTTTGGTGCTTTACCTTCTTTGTGAATGATTTACATAGCATTATTCTTAACTGTTTAATTTCAGATCATCCAGATTTGGCAGCTGTTTGTGTTCATTCAAGTGTTTTTCCCTCCTGATGAGAACATTTATATTCAAGTCAAAATATAGCCATACCAAGCTGACTTGCTTACAAAGTAAATATTTTAAATTAAATACATTCTTAAAATATTGGTTATTCCTTGTTAGTTTGTTTTTAAATTGTATGTGGTTTTCTATGTCTCATTTTTTTTTCAAAAAATAAAACAATTTCATTTTATACTCCTGTGTATGATTTCAGATCTCGAAGATAAGTTGTGACAGCTGTGTGTATTTGTTCTGAAAACGTCTTTTTAAACAGAAAACTTTGTACATTTTTGGTAAGTGTTTGAACAATTACAAAACTATACGCTTACATTGATCAGACATAAAGGATTAATTTTAAAAGGTTACATCTGAAGTTCTGGATATAATACAGAATATCATAAATATCATATACATAATTTATTAATAACTGAAAGACCATTACAAACTTATCTAAATAATTACTCATTTAAAAAATATTGAATATCTTTTAATTCTATATTTTGTTTCATTGATTAGCTGTATTTAACTTGTATGTATCTTACAAACCAATGGCAGGTTTTTAATAAAACACTTTAAATATCTACAGCAACACATGTCATGGGAAATTCCAACAAAAAGCCTCAATGCTCTACAATTACAGGTAATGAACAACTCTATTATACATACATTAAGTATCTCTCAGTAATTTAAAGGAGAATTAATATATCTTCTATAAATGTTTGCTAATTTAGCAATACAGTTATGTTCTAGTTTTATGTCAACAGGTAGAGGTATCCTTTAATGTTAGATTATCAGAAAAAATTAGAATTTTATTTGTTCATTTTAATGGGTTTGTGTTATTATATCTTTCTGTAAATAAGGAAAACTGACATACTAATAGTTTTGTTTTCATATTTAGTGCATATAAATCTGCGCTAGCATGAACATAATATGTATTAAAATAATATGTGACATTTATAGTATAGAAGTGTTTATCTGTTTTAAACCTTTTAGAAAATATGTTTCCCTTATTCTGTAAGAAAACCACATATACATTCTTAATTTCTTTTTCAGATTTAGAATGCTGTGAAAACCCCAACAAAGTTAAACAAAATTACAAAGCAGGTGTGTTTTGTCCAGGTAAGAAACAATAAACATAAGCTAAATCTAAATTACATAATTACACATTTGTGCTAGTTTAAACAAAGCATAGCTAATTAATTAAATTAAAAGAATTTTATATCATGTTTAAAGCTATTTTAGTCAGTTTAAATAATTTTTTTCCCCTATTCCTGTAGGAAATCATGAAGCTGAGATGTGCTATGGAGGAGAAGCTGATCTACACAAACATGTTTCTGGCTGTGAGAAGAATCCAGGTCACAAAGGTTTTATACCTCTTAAAGATTTCAACACAAATTGTCTCCCCTCACGTTACCATGACGACGAGCTCTTGTCTGAGAATATCAAAGCATTGGCAGCCCTAACTGTCCAGGTAAAGACTAAATTCACCAGTCTAAAGAGACCAAAGTTTTACCGAGGCACTCAAGTTCCATATCCATGTTATAATGACAGAGGAAGTCACGTGATGAGGTTAGGGACGGGGAGGGTGTGGTGTGTGAACAAGTACACAGAGAGTGACAGAAGGGGAACTTGTCGTTGTGCCAAGTGTCAAGTCTCTGCCACACCCAGCAAAGTGTGGGGGGAGATTTGGGTGGTGACAGCCACACACGTGGTGTTTGATGACAGTGAGGCGAGACAGACCAGGTGTGTTTTAGGTTTTGATGACAATAAAAGTCCTGGGGTCAGTCTTGATGGCTGGTGTGTGATGTGTAGTGCAGACATTGAGAGAGACTTGTGTGAGTTGAGTTATGTGTCATGTGACTTAAAGTTGATTGATGAACTGGACAAGATGTGTCAGCGCTTTGATGATCTACGTTGTGAAGTTAGGTACAAATACTGGATATTTAATGATGTGGACAAGTTGACCGTTATAGTGTCACATCCTCATGGCTGTCCTAAACAGGTCTCTGTAGGACAATGGACACACAAACGTGAGAGGGATGATGACCATGCTGATGATGATAATGATGGCCCCACCTGGACAAGGTACTGGTACACAACATGTACATGTCCAGGCTCCAGTGGAGCGTGTGTCTACAGGCTGGGAGATAACAGTTTGTGGTATCAGCATCCCCACAGTGGATGGGACTCTGAAGGAAATTATAGTGGGAAGTGGAGAGTGATGTAACTGTTAGTTCTCTCCCCTTGTCTACACAATGTAAACAAACAAAATGGCGGAACTTTGCCCGTCTGTAAACTGTTTGTGTTAAGACCTGCATGTCTTTTCAACATTTTATTACATTTAAATGTTTAAAACAAATGTTTTCATTGATATAAACCGTTTAACCGAATTAACTTGCTTGTACATAGATGGATGTTAGAGTTTTTTTTTGTTTCAAATGTTGTAAACAATCAGCTTATACTTTTTGTCGGCAAGTTGTTGTCATATAACATATAGAGATCTACCTGTCATATAGGCTGGCTATTTCCTGTAAATTAAATGTAACCTACCTATCAAATGTCATATTCATACTGTTTACATTTGTTTATAAAATGTTCACACTAAACGAGATTAAATTGTAAAAGATTATATGTTTCTACTGTTGTTATTTTAATCTTTGTTGTCTGTTGATGTTTAAGTTGTTGGCAAACAGCGCATGTTGAGATGTCGATATTCGCGCCAGATTGTCGTGGGTTGTAAGTTTAAATTTTACAACGAAGTCCATATGTTTATGTCTATGCACCTGTAAGTAAGGCTAATTTAAATGATATAATTAGAAAAAAAATGGAATTCTAATAATTTTAAAATTATTTTACACATCACATGCTATATTTAGATACTTCGTCGCTTCTAGACCTTCTCCAATAGAAACATGAAAAAATACTTTGCAGCTGTCATTGACTGATTTTTGTGTAAACATTGTTGTCATTCTAATTGACTAGAAATCCTTGAACAATACTTGGCTGTGATATTTAAAACAACTTTTGTAAAAGTTGATCGATCGGCCGTGATAGAACAACTAGTGTGACTTTAAAACATTGAATCAAAGTTTTCAATTATGAAAACTGTAAAGCAGGGCGTTAATAAGCAACTGGAGAAATGGGACGACATGGTCGAGTAAAAGAGTAGACACATTTTGTCTCCAAGGACACGAGTTTGATTCCCATGTTCGATTACCTTTCTTGATGCACGGATCTGATGTGTACCTGGACATGTTTGGAGAAACAAAATTCGACTGGGTGTTCCGTGTGGACTCAATGACGTAATAAGTCATGAGTATAACACCAACACATGAACTCTACTTTCTCTGCCGAATTGACCGCATGATATGCAAGATAGCTTTACTTCAAAGTTGCTAGTCAATTTAAATATAATATGTAACACATTGTTATACACAACTGTTACACCAATTCTACTTATTTCGAATATCGATACATTTTCAGTTATAGCATGAAGATGGATTCGGGGACAATATCGGTTTCATGAGTTCACTCTCTGTTAAATAATTTGATTAAATGATAAAAGAAATGTATAAAATAAACATCCTTGGCAAAGCTAAGCTATAAATACTTCGATCTCTAAATTGGAAAAAAAACTACTTTGTGGTCAAAGGGAAGTGACAATGAAAAAAATATTAAATGTCGAGTAATTACATAGTTGTTTCCCTGTTTAAATAAATTAAATTTATAACATTATTTTTACTTTCTCGTATATACGAAGTACAGAGAAAGTCTTGTAATCGTGCAAAACAAAAAATCGAAATTTTTACAAATCTCGACGTTTTACACTTCACTGATACGGAAAAACATAATTTTGCAATCTTGTCCGTAAGTCTGTGTGTGTGTGTGTGTGTGTGTAAACACGATAAATTGAGTACCGTTACAGCTAGATTAAATGAAATTTCATATAGAAGTATTTTATCAAAATCGTAGATCTTGATATACTTTGAGCGATTTCCGATAACCAAAAGTGGTACTTTTTCTACTTTGAATTTTTCAAAAGCCTATAACTTGAGTACTATTTCAGATAGATAAATGAAATTTCACATGTCAGTAAAAGATCTCATTCTCTACCTTCTATCAAATTTAGAGTAATTTCCGTTGATTGGAAGTACTAATTTACGCTATTTACGATTTCTCAAAAAACGAATGTAAATTAAAATTAATAATATTCCGCACTATTATGCACGTTTTATTTGGAGTTCACAGGTGTGCAATTCTTTTTTTCTACGAGATTTTGTTCGATCAAATTTTGAGTAATTTCCGTTGACCGGAAGTACTAATTCACGCTATTTCCGATTTCTGAAAAAAGCATGTAAATTTATAAAGTACTAATAATATTGCGCACTATTAAGCACATTTTGTTTTGGCGTTGGCTTGGTGCTTAATCAAATGTCGGAGGACTTATATCACGGTAGAAAGACATGTCACAGGTTTTAAAATCATCGTTCTCCATTCGATCCAACAGATAGCGGCTGTGTAATTGTATACGCTGCTCATTACTTAAGCGTCATTAATTATTTAAACTGGGAACCCCGATAATCGTAAACCAAATAGACTTGAAATTCTGATTTAATTATAATTATCTGTACATGAATTAATTACGGCCTATGGGATCTACATGTTTCATACAAGACACGACTTCACTATATATCAGGGGTCTCCAAATTACGGCCCGCGAGGTCCTCTCATCCGGCCCGCGGAGATCTTTTTGTCCACGGAAAAAACGTTTGTTGGTGATGGCTGAGGAACTTTGCCCAGAAAAATCAAAGACATGCCCGGAAGAAATTGGCCCCCGAACTGAAATTTGATAATTAATGCGGCCTTCGGACTGAAAAGTTTGGAGACCCCTGCTATATATTATAATATTTTAAATTATTAATCGTTAACTGATAAATTATCGGCGTGTATAACATTACGTCTACTACTGTATTCTTCTTATCGCTGTATAAACAATTCTTCAGATTGATTTTAAATATTGATCGTATTTTTAATCTAAGGGGTCGTCCATAAATGACGTCACACTCGTAGGGGGAGGGGGTCCGTAATTTTGTGACGGTGTGTGATGAGGGGGAGGGGGGGGGGGGTTCAGATAGTGTGACGTCACTTTTTTTGCACTATAAAAAAAGCAATGTTAGAAAACAAGTTTTAGCCGTTACTTCGCGTTTTAGATAGCGTTTTTAATAATTGTAATAGGAATTGATCAAAGTATCGATGTTTTAAGCAACACTCAACAGCAACTTTGAGGGGGGTTGTAGACTGAGGTGTGACGTCATTTTAAAGGGGGGGGGGTTGTCTGGCTTTTTGTGACGACGTGTGACGGAGGGGGGGGGGGAAGTAAAAATCGTCCAAAAAAGCGTAAAGTAATTTATGGATGACCCCTGACTGATTTGCGTAAATCGATCAAAGGCGCTAAATCTATATCAGACACTGATTCGAAAAGTACTTTGATTATGCAATTCAACTGTCAATTCATTAATAACAAAAATAATGAAAGAAAAGAAGCGAGTTCGGTATATTACAATGTATTACTTTGATTGGACCTCAGTGTATGGTCATTTGTATAACAATTCAGAACAAATAGCCGTATTAAAATAAAACACCAATAGTAGATTACTGCTTAAATTAAATATTTCTAGGTCAAAGTTTTAAAAGATGGCTATGAGTTTTAAAGCATTAAGTTATATAAAATACCTTATATTAAGGAGTACATTTGTATAAATAGACGTATACTAGTATCCACTAGACGGCTTAACACCACTATTTTCTGAACTTAAAACCCGACATCACATTACCGTAATAAAAAACCCGACACCGCATTAAAAAAGGAGATTTTATCATACCACTTGTATAATAGTAAAGGGAGGCAGTTTAAGAGCAGTCGTGCAATACATTTTTTTTTTAAATTACGTTTTTAGTTCTTACATTCTTAAAATAGAATAGAACCGAGTAGAAGAAAAGATTCGCGCACAAACTAAATGCAAACGGTTTTACTGTAATACAGGGGTCTCCAAACTACGGCCCGCGGGCCGGATGCGGCCCGCGAGGTCCTCTCATCCGTCCCGCGGAGATCTTTTTGTCCACAGAAAAAACGTTTGTTGGTGATGGCTGAGCAACTTTGCCCAGAAAAATCAAAGACATGCCTGGAAGAAACTGGCCCCCGAACTGAAATTTGATATTTAATGCGGCCCTCGGACTGAAAAGTTTGGAGACCCCTGCTGTAATAGAACGGAGAATAGTACTTTATAAAGGAACAATTGCTTAACTTTTGAGAAAATGGACATAGTGTAAAGTATTACTTTTGGTCACCAGAAATCGGTTAAAATGTGATTGATTTAAGATAATCTGATTTGATACCTATGTATAAAGTTTAGTCTACCTAACTGAAATGATACTTAAATTATTTTATTATTTTTTAAACCGGAAAAGGTACTTACGAAACCGTGTTTACTAAAAGACATACATACATACACACAGACATACAGAGAAAATTGCAAAATTACGTTTTTCTGACTCTGTGATGTGTAAAACGTCGAGATGTTGAAAAATTTCGAATTTTTTGTGCACGATGTTAATACTTCCTCTATACTTCGTGTAAGAGAAAGTAAAAACCAAAGTAGAAACAAGCACACAGCTTTGAAATACACAGTCGCGAAACAAAATGTTTGAAACTTTTCTAATTCACAGCTACACATGTATTAATACAGCCTCGTACAAATCTCATCACACAGCTTTCAATAAAAAAAAAAAACAACAGCACATTCCGTTTGTCAAGTTGCTGTTGATTTTTGATGCGTGACTAAGAATTTGATACGTTTTGTGATTGTGTGATTAGGCCGTGTGACGCGCCTGGCTTAACTCAAGTAGTCTGTCAGCGTTCTGCAACAGATCAGTTTATTTTAATATGGCCACGTCATGTCAGTCCTATACATCCAAACAGTGGTGTAGCGAGGTCGGGTGTCACCCGGTGCGGCACTTAATGGTGTCACCCCCCAGAGGCGTAGCGACCCTTCCCCGGGACAAACTTTCAAATTTTCGAATTGCACCCCCCCCTCAAGTTTTCGATTTGCACCACCCCCCCTCGAAATTTCGATTTGCACCACCCTCCCCCGCCTCAAGTTTTTCTCTATATATTTTGCTATTTTTCGCCTTGGAGTCACCCCCCCCCCTAAATGGTGTCACCCTGTGCGGTCCGCACCCCCCGCCCCCCCCCCCCCCCCTCACAAAGCCCCTGCATCCAAACCCCACAATATGGCCACGTGATCTCAGTCCTATACATCCAAACACCACAGATTTAAAGAATCGATTACTTTATTCACAGTAGTAATAGACTTCGTATGTGTTACATGTAAATTCACATCATATGGGTGGATTATAAATGACGTCACACTTGTAGGGGGGGTTGTAATTGTGTGACGGTGTGTGATGAGGGGGAGGGGGGATTTCAGACCCCCAAGACACACCCTCCAAGACGCACCCTCCAAGAAGCACCCTCCAAGACGCACCCTCCAAGATGAAGCTCCCCTGGCTGCGCCACTGACAACACTATCTGATGTTATTCTTGCTACTGTAACTACAATTAAAAACACT